GAACCGGGCCTTTGAAGGGGTACTTCGTGATCCGGGAATTCCGAGGGGTTTACGGCGGTCCGGAGGCGCAGGCCGGTCATCTTGAGGCTCGAGGACGCCGGAAGGGCACAATCCCGAGCCGGGCCTTTGAAAAGGTGCTTCCACCAACGGGCCTCAGGTGCGTTGTCTTATCGGATCGGTTTCCCAGCGAGGCATGGTCTCGACCGAGCTTGAGCTATGGCCTTGATGGGCGAGGGAGGAGACGTCTGACACAGAGAGTTCCAGCACCATCCCGTGGGACAGGCGTGCGAGGTATCGGCGAGCCCTCGTGAGGGGGAGAGTTAGGCGGAGGTTATCCACGCGTTCCGTAGGCACTCAATCAGACCCCACACACATAGACAGGGGGACTTCACTTGAGATCGGGAACTGTGCAGAGCCCCCCATTGTACTTGACTGAATGGAGACTCTGATATTGTTCTTTTTCCTGCCTACTCTTTGAGACTTGCATCACACGGCTTCGAGTCAGTCTCTGCGGCACTTTGTGTTGGATGTGTACTGACGTGACTTGTGCAGGTTACAGGAGCCCCAACCAGCCCTCCCGTGGGTGACAGACGCGGCGTGAGTCATAGGGTTTGTGTTGGAGGCCGGCAGAGCCCTTCTATCGGTCCACAACGTATCCCCACTTCACTCTTGCTAATGTTTCAGTTCCGTTCGCCCTTTTTTTGAAGAGACTTCTTGATGGACGCACATACATCCTCTCACGGTCACTGAGTTGACATAAATCCCCAAATTGAAATGGCGAGGGCCCGGAGAATGAACTCTATTCCTTTCCTCTGCGGCTATCTTTATACTTGTTAGAGCTGGCCCAATTTGGGCGATCGAATGCAGTCTCCCGCCTGAATCTCAATCTGCTATTCCGTGGCTCTGGCACATGCGCGCTTGTTTCCAACGCTGTTACCCACTCGCTCTTGCGAACAGGTACAATGGGAATCTCCCCCTACTCTGAGGTCCCTTATCTAGTCTGATTGCCGCCAATCATAGTCCTCTGGTCTTCCTGATGCGTCTACAGAGTTAGGCAGTACTCTGGCGGATGAACCTCTCCTCGTGGTCAGCTAGTTTCAGCTCATGCCGGCGGAAGGGACACGAACGCTCAGACAACCAGTGCAGTCCTCTTCCCACCAGAAGAGCACTCCCCCCCTCGATCTCGCATTCTCTTGCTCACGAACACATAACTCATTTGTCTCCTTCGGATATCACTGTCTCCTTCTCAAACTCCCAGAGAGTCGCTGCCCCTGCAAGGTACATGTCAGCCTCACGGATGGATCATAGGGAGAGATCCACTTCCGCCTAGTGAGGATTAAATCAAGCTACCCGCGCCAATCGAAGAGATACTATGTGCGTCAGGCATGTCTTTGAATCTGCAGCGCTCTCTCTTCCTTCCCTCGATTTACCGGCAGGTCTCTTTACCGTCCATTGTTTTGCTTTCCCTGTGGGAGGTGGTGCCAAGAGGGAGGCGCGCAGAGTACACCATGCACGCCTCTCGTCTTCACCCCTTCTCGTGTTATGCTTTTGGAAGCTAAGTACGCCCTGCACTCAATCCCCAGCGACAAAATGAAAAAAACAACTCAATTGCCGTATACCTCCCCCACCTTCACCAACCGGGTCGTCCAAACCCTGTCCGGAGTGCTAGCGTGGACGGGGTATACGAGGCACGCAGCTTTGTCTGCCACGTATGAATCCCCCTCCCTCCAAAATGTTGGTCCTCTCTATATGTGGTTCTTGCATAAGCCACGGCCTCGGGCCCAAAGGCAGGCCCAGCCTCAGGTACCAGCGCCTATCTCAAAGGCCCAACCCTCGCATATCAGCCCCAGTTTCAGCCCAGGACACCAGTGGTACCAGTGTAGTAGTGCAGGCCCAGCATACCGGATATCGGACCAGTTGATGTAGCAAGGCCCCCAACAGGCAATTAGGAAAAATAGTACTTCGGCCGATTGAAAACCACCGGAGTACCTTATTCTCAGGCCAGTTACCGAAAGTAAACCGCACCAGTTCCGAAACAGGGTACTATTGGTTAGTATAGGCCACTGGGCGTACCGAAATAGTAATGCCAAACTCGCAGTAAACCGCGTCGTAGCGATTCCAGTTCAGTCCAAACGCTGCACCAAACCGTACAACCGTTGTGCCTGTACCAAAACAGTACCCATACCAAAATAACAGTGGTCAACCATAGCCAATAACCATATCATGAAATAATAATGTCCATTTGTTGTGAATCATCCACCATCAACAGGATGCCGTGGGCCCAAAATCGTACCAAATTAATGACATCAAACCGGAGTGAGTCGCGACAGTTCCAGACCGGACCTAGTACTATCAAGCAACACAAGTCCTGTACCAGCACCAGATCAATAGTCGTACCAATCTGACCTAGCCGCTGTAACCAAAATTGAGTTCCGCTGATCTGTCCGCAGATATAATCAAGGCCCGACCCATGGTAGTATCGAAAATAGTTACCGTTTAATGATTAAGTGTTCACCCGAGTTATCACACGACACTTGGCGTGCCATGAAACTCCAACAAAATATGAGCACCACACACTAAGTAACCCCCGGGCTATAACAAGAGTAGTAATTAGGTAAATCTGATAATTTTTTTACAAGGAAAATCGAATAGATAAAATCCGTTTAAATTGGCGGAGGGGTGAAATAATAAGGTAAAATGGGGTTGAAATCAACGTGAGCGTAGTCGAGCAAAAATTATTTTTTAATAAAATAATCACATGTTTTGATTTCTTTTTATCATTTTTTTAAGTTTATGTTTATTTTTAATTTCATCATTATTTTAAATAAAATATGGGCCCTCGTTTTTTCGTCAACTGGTCAGCGTGAAAAAGGTCGCACGAAGGCTTGCAAGCGTACTTTCGCCCCACGACTGGCTAATTCGAGGACAACGTCAAATTAGACGGAAAATGCCAACGCGAGAAGCGGGAAAAACGATGGTCCGATTATCGAGAATTAAGGGTTAGTTTCGGTCAGCGTTCAAGAAGAAGTTAGAGTCTATCTTAGACCCCCTAATTTTCTCCGACAGCTCGGACAAAAATACCTGAAAAATCTTAAGTGAGTGTTCGGTTGAGGGCCCAATTCTTTTTATTTTGGGTGGCCGACTGGCTTGCGACCGCCCGACAACGTGCCCCACGGTGCCACACTTGAGGCACTGGCGGTTGTCCATCTTGGACTGTCATTCCTCTCGTGTCATACCTATCTTCTCCTAAGGTTTCCCGAACGCATGTCGAGGTGCTCGAGGAACGAGCGTGGCCTCTTCTTCTTCTTCCACTGGTTAGTGCCACCCTTGTTGGCCACTACGACAGCGACGTCACCCTTTTCGGACTTGCTACCGCCATTACCTCCTCCTTCCGACTCGTCGAGAGGTAATTTTTTCACGGTATCATCGAAAACAACAAGCATGTGATCCTGACACTTTTGCCGCCGAAGGATACGCTTGCCGTACCCACCTACCGACCCATTCTTCACTACGGAAGCATAAGTTCCCTTTACCTGCGCGGTCATCTGCTCTTGTTGGAGCGCGAGATCATGAAATTGCATGTAATTGTACTTACCAGACTTGGCTTCAGCCACGAGTTGTCTGCGAATCGGCTCGGGCAGTGCGCGTGAGTAGATGTAGAGGACTTGATTGTCCTGCAAGTTCAGTCCAGATACCTACAAGAGACGATCCATCTCACGAGACAAAACATCCACAAAATTCCAACGGTTTTGGCCTATAGTGGTAAGTTCATCCAAGGCCTTGTCGGCCGTAGTCTTGTCCAAGAATCTCTCCTTGATCTTCTGGAGAAATTCTCGGAGGGTTAAGGTTTTCGCCGACTCACCTATGCCCTCAAAGCCAGCAGCGTTGGCTTCGGACATGAACCACTTATTGGCCACTTCTCCCAAGCAAGACGTGGAGAAGGTCAGCTGACTTTCTGGCTCAACAGGCGCAATACTGTAATATGTCTGGATTTCCGTGATCCACAACAACAAATTTTCTCCTTTTTTGTTATTGTAGGTAAAAGGCAATTTCATTTTTACCTTTTCCTTCTTCTTTGACTTTTCTGCTTCCTTGGCCAGTTCTTTCCTGGCGGGTTCCTCTTTCTTTTTTGTCGGTCCCTCAGATTCCTTCTTAGAGGTTTTGGGTTTCTCTTATGTTACCCTCTTCATTCCATCCTTCATGAGTTTTTACTGGTTTTTTTTTTTTACTTCTTCCCCCCAAGTCTCCTCCTCAATCCTCACCTTGTCTTTGCCCTTGAGAAGTTTGGTCACTACCTCTAATGAGGTAGTATTTCTATCTATCTTTTTCTAAGTTGGACAAGATAAACCATTATAGACTGCAAAATGGATGCAAGTTCAGTTTCTACTTCTTCATAATGAAATTTATGTCCTAGTTCTTCCATCATTTTTTCTTCCTGTTATCAGCAAACACAGTGAGAGGGATAAGAAAGAAGAAGAAAGGAATGAATCTTATGAGGATGGAAGCACTCAGACGTTTCCAGAGCTAACAGAGAGGGATAAGAAAGAAGAAGAAAGGAATGAATCTTATGAGGATGGAAGCACTCAGACGTTTCCAGAGCTAAGTCGTAGTTCCCAGCGTGTGATTGCCGCACAATAAATAATGCAAGGAACATGAGTATGGACGAAGCATAGAAATCCAGAATGCAAAATCACACTGAAGCCCAAGTAGTCAAAGCCAGAGCAGATAACACAATGGAACCGAGTAACCATCCAATTGAGAATGATACAGAAGAATCGTGAGTCAATGTCCAAGCCCAACGGGGCAACACCAACAGCATAACCCAATGTAGCTCTCTCTTGTAAATGGCGCCAGGCGCCCTATCTACTCTACAGACTGAGCCTACAACTACAGCGATGAAAGCAACCAGACAACTTGACTACCAGCGAGTGATGATGTCAACACCAATGCCGACCTCCACCTCCACTAGATACGTGTCCTAATCACCCACACTCTCCCTTGTTACCCACACAGCGCCCTTCACCTCCGAAGAACCACCTTCGCCCTCACCTCCCCTGCGCCCCATGCAGCCCGGCTATGGCCGCCAGCGCACAGTGCATAGGCAGCGCCCTACCGCCTAGCGCCTGCCTGCCTCGCACTTCTTCCTAGCGCAGCGCAGCAGCAGCTCGCATTCGCGCAGCGTGCCGGCAATGCTTGCATTGGCCAAGATCCCCGCCCACTCGCCCTGCTTGCCTATATGCCAATGCTGCGTGTGGGCGGCCTCCCTTCAGCCTGCGACTGGGCCCAGTGGCTGAACCCAGCCCGATACAGTTGAGGCCCGGGGCAATGCAGTTGCGCCTCTTTCATCAAGGCCTGCGGCCAGATCCAGATAGTGGGCCGATTTCCCTTTGGCATTTTCGGCCTCTATCCCCAACATGCATTGTCGGCCTTACGTTCAAGTGCCCAGGGCCTAACTAACTCTGAGGCCCTGGGATCTCCACATTTGCAGAGATTCAAGACTCGGTGCACTCCAACCAACTGGCGTGCTGCAACTGTATGAACCCCACTTCGGGAAATGTTTGCACAGAGGGCTCTTGTTGATTTGCTGGCCCGCCTTCACTTAGGGCGGGCACTAGGCTTGCTGGGGCCTTAGCCCAGAACATGTACATCATGGCAAGGCCCCTTCTTGAGGGCTCAATCCTCACATTCCATCCCCCTTAGCTTCAAAAGTCCGCTGAGATGCTTACTTCGCAGGTGCCTTCCCTTTCAGCAGTCTCTCATATTCTGCCACCACCTGAGGAGCTGTCTCAATCAGTTCCTGTCTGGTAAATCACCGATCTTCTTTTGGATCCGTATGATGCCTGAATCTGACGTGATACTCTCTCTTGGGCTTAGGAGGTCTTCCTCGACCCAGCGGCTTCGGAACAGGCATATCCCTGTGATCCACAATGTCGTCGATGTCCACTTGACCATCCATGGTTGGGGGCAGCATCGATCTCTTGGAAGGGAATTGATCTGTCTCAGCGAAAGGTGCAAGCTTTGAGGCATGAAAGACTGGGTGAGTGTGTAGGTGTCCAGGGACACGAATGACATATGTGGGGCCATCCATCTCATCTCCCACTATATCCAGGACTTCCCAGGGACCAAAGTACTGAGGCATTAGTTTGCGAGAGATTCTGAATTCCTGTCCTAACTCACTAGCCTTGACCTAGACACGTTCCCCTACTTCAAATGTGGACTGTCTACGGTGTTGATTCTCAGAAGCAATCATTGCTTGCTGAGCTTTCTTCATGTGCTGGACAGCTTCTTGCAACAACTTCTCATACTGCATACCATACTCAAGTGTGCCTGGAGTTGCAGCGGGTCGGTTTTCAGGTAGGAGGAAGTCTAATGTTGATCTAGGCTTCCATCCCAAGTGTAGCTGATTAGGACTAATGCCGGTAGTGCTATGGGCAGCATTGTTGTACAGGCTGGCGATGAGAGGCAACTGCTCATCCCATTCATCTTGGTTGGGCTTGATGTAATGCCTCAGCAACTGTTGTACGACTCTGTTCATTTGCTCGGCTTGTCCGTTGGCTTCGGGATGTTTCCGTGAAGTCATCTGAAGTTGACTGCCCATCTGTTCTGCAGTCTTTTTCCACAGCTCACTTGTGAATCGGACATCTCGGTCACTAACGATTGACTTTGGTAAACCAAAGTCACGCACCCAGTTGTCTTTGAACAACTTGATGACATAGTCAGTTCTTGCGGTCTTTGGCATAGCCACTAGTCTAGCGTACTTGGTGAATCGATCGATGATGACGAAGATGTGCCTCTTGCCACTCTTACTAGTCACCAGGGTGTTCATGAAATCCATGGAAACACTCTGTCCTGGACCAGCAGGAATAGGCAAAGGCTTCAACAACCCAAGCAGTGCTTGAGTTCGCGGCTTGTCCCGCTGATAGACCTGACAGGTCTCTACGTACTGCTTTGCGTCATCTAACATTCCTGGCCACCAAAATCGCTGTACTAGGTTAGCACTCGTCTTCTTGTAGCCAAAGTGCCCAGTTGCGTCATGACATTCGCCTAAAAACAAACTACGCAATCGCTCACTAGATGGAACTACTAATCTTTTTATTCCGGCCTTATCAAGATAGAGTAACCCATCCACCATCACAAACTCACTTTCTGTGGCCTTGTCTTTAGCTTGAAGTTTGCGCATGATGTCCATTGTGACAGGGTCTTCCTGATAGGCTCCCACCAATGATTGAGTTACTTCATCAGATACGCCAAAGTCAGAAACTAGCGCACCTAGGTAGACTGCTCTACGTGATAGCGCATCTGCAACCTTGTTGTACTCTCCCTTCAGATACTCAAGCTTGAAGTCATATTGGTCTATGACCGCAATCCACCGCTTGAGTGCGTCAGAAAGAGCCGGTTGAGTCTTGATCCATTTGAGGGTCTGATGATCAGTCCTCAAGTAGAAGAACCTTCCCAATAGGAAGTGTCTCCAATGGATAAGTGCTTTATATAGAGCATAGAGCTCCCTTTCGTAGGTGGACTTTGCCAACTTCTTTGATGGCATCTTCGTACTCATGTACTCAATCGGTCTCAACTTTTTCCCATCCTGTTGAGCCAGCACTTCGCCAATGCCGTATTGACTTGCGTCAGTGGTCACTATGAATGACTTCTGAGGATCGGGAACCATGAGAACTTCATGATTCATGAGTGCATGCTTCAATCGCTTGAAAGCACCTTGTCACTCATCACTCCAGTCCCATGGCGTGTCAAGTCGAGTTAGATCTGTCAAAGGAGAGGCGATTGTAGAACAGTTCTTTTCAAAGTTCCTATAGTAGCCGCACATTCCTCAGAAAGATCTGACCTCAGTGACAGTCTAAGGTCGTGGCCAGTCTCGAATACTAGCCACCTTCGCATCTTCCGGCCTAATCCCTTCCGCGGATACTTCATGACCCAAGTATAGTATCTTAGTGCGACCAAACTCACACTTCTCTAAGTTGACCTTATACTTGTGTTGTCGAAGGAGTGAAAGTACCGTCTCAACATGTTGTGCATGCTCCTCGACAGACTTACTAAAGATCAGAATATCGTCTAGATAGACCACGATAAACTTATCTAAATGGTCATGGAAGATCCGATTCATAGCGCGCTGGAATGTTCCCGGCGCATTGCAAAGACCAAAAGGCATCACTACAAACTCATACAGACCATAACGAGTCTGAAAAGTTGTCTTGTGTTGGTCCTTAGACCTTATAGCGATCTGATGATAGCCGGATTTCAAGTCTATCTTGCTATAGTACTTGCATCCCTGCACCCTATCCAATAGGTCGTCTATGCGAGGTAGAGGCTCTACGTTCTTCAAAGTGATGGCATTGAGGCCTCTATAGTCAATGCACATCCTCAATCCATCCCTTTTCTGTCAGCTCCTTAAGCTGTCGCCGGAGTTCATCTAACTCGGCGGGAGTCATCCTATAGATCCTTCACTTTGGGATCTTACTCCCTGGAATGATTTTTATAGCGTGGACAACTTCCCTTTTCACAACTCCTGTGGGCTCTTCGAACACATCAGGGAACTTAGCAACGACGCGTTTTATCTCTGGGGGTGTTTTAACGACCTCCCCTTTCTCAGAGACATACACAAGGTACATACCTTCCTCTTGGTTTTGCTTGTAGTAATTGTAGAACGTTGATGCACACAAGCAACCATAGGTATCTATAATACTACTGGACTTGAACTTAGTCAATCTGACAGTTCGGCCATCGGGCAACTTATGCTTGAGTACCTTCTTATCCCAGTCAAACTGGGGCTTAGCAACTTCGAGGTAGTACATGCCTAACAACATGTCGAATGGTAAGTCATCGCTAACCAAGAACGAAATCTTATGATTTAGTTCTCCTCCTCCATAGGAGAAGGTACAGACTACGTCCTTGATATAGTCTGTTACAATCATACGCTCCTTGTTTGCCAAAGTAGATGCTACAGGTCTACTAAGGTGCCGTACCCGGTCCTGTAGGTGCAGCCTTTCCAAACAGTCGCGACTTATGTAATTCCGCGTAGAGCCTATGTCTATGAAGGCACCACATTTGCGGCCTCCTACATCGACTTCCACCACGAAATGTCCCCCTCTAGGACCTTTCCTTAGCGCCACCCAAGACTCGCGAGGGTCCTTGTTTGACCACTCACTCTCCAAGTCTTCTAAGGCATCAGACACATCTAACGTACAGAGCATAGTTTGGTCTAGATGAGTCTGCGGGGTGACTAAAGAGTCATTAGCTTTGGCCTTCTCGTGAAGTGGGGAGGGTATCTGGCCCACTTCACCAAGAGCAGAAGCAGCTAAAACTTCCAATGGCCTCACGCATTTCACGAGCTAGTAGCCTGGGAATAAGATGCCCCCATTTTTGGAGGTATCTTTTGCGTAACCTTTGCGTTCTGGCACTTGTACTGCAAGTAACCGTATTCCCCGCTGTTGATACAAGCGCCACGCACTCGGCGGTCACGCCACACGTCTTGATAAAGACCTGCCTTCACCCAATCAGCCACTTTGGTCTGGTTGGAGGCGGCCTTCCCTTGACTCTTTGGTTGACCCTTCCCTCGGCCACCTGCCTTAGCCTTTACAACTGCGGCGAGGGTGCTACCCTCAGCGGTCTCCTCGCCGTCGTACTCTGAGTAGTCCATCAGGTCAGTGAGCTCATCGATTTCCGTTTGAGTCCCATAGGACTCAACCATCATCAACTTCGCCTCCTTCTTTTTCCACTCCTGAGGACTCCTCTTCTTCTTCGTGTCATTCTGGGAGGGTTGAGCAATGCCTAGAGTGGCCTCCAAGTCTAAGGCTTTCCTAGACAATGTCTCAAATGAACGGTACTCGACGCGTGCCTCACTGGCCAACAAGTTCCTGATGTTCTCTGGAAGACATCTAACAAACATAGTTAACAGGAACTGGTCACTGTAGTTGATGCTTCGAACGAGGATCAGACTCTCCACGGTAGTCGTAAGCTCTCTAACCGACTTGAACTTTCGTTGGTCTAACTTGTTAATCGTATCAGTGGCTCTTTGTGCCTCCTATGGATTATGCCATCGAGCTTCTACCATCTCCATGAACTGGTCTAACGTTAAAGACTTAGCCCAGTCCGCCATGCGTCGCCCGTACCTGTCCTTTACAACTACACCATCTAGCCACTTGGCTGCCTTACCCTCGAGGTAAGATGCAGCAGTAACCACTTCATCCTCCAGCAAGGTCCTCTTGGCCTTCACCCAAACCGGGACTATCCTCAACCAAGTGTTGAGCTCCTCGTCCTTTCTCTTGCTTGACAAGGCAAGAGGCTGTTTCATTGGGGTCTTAGGATACCATTGACCTTGGGGCTGTCCCTGTTGAGGAACATGTATATTGCGCTGGTGTAGCTCCCACCGTTGGACCCGAAGAAGAAGATGCAACAATCTATGCAACTGCTGCAGACGTACCACTTGGTTGTGGACCAGCTTGAATTGGAAAGGGGCCTGACATCGCCGATAACGGCAACGACCATTGTGCTGGTGGCCTGAATCCTGGCCTTGTCAATACATTCAGGATCTGGTCTAGAGTGTTCTGCATGAAGTCTAATCTGCTGTCCACGTGTGCATGCAACGACAGCATATTCTTCCTTAGTGTTTTCATTTGGTCAGACAATGTTGACTCATCCAAGCCCTCTAACTCAGCTTTGTCAGCCTCTAAAGTATCAAGCCTGGCTGCTCTATTTTTCATCTCTCTTTCTCTATCGGTTGCCTTCTTCAGGTCCTCCTTTAACTTCTGGCGGAGCCTCTCGACCTGTTGGATCTCCCTGAGCTCCCTCTCACGTGGGGTCAACGGGCTCAACTGCGAGCCCGCCATTTGACTAATAGACTGTCGAGAACCCATTGAACTGGAAGTGCCTATGGAACTTGTTGGCATTCCCAACTGAGTCCCATTGGTCCCAGACAAAGCCGCAGAGGATGCTGCTGAGCTAGTCATGGCTGCTGCACTGGCTGCTGCGGCAGCTTGTTCCCTAGCTGCGGTGTTTGCTGTTGCCCTAGCTGCTGCTAGTGCACGGGCTCTATGTTCGGCTATAGGTCGTCTTTCGTCTCCCAGTTGTAGGGCCTGGAACACGTGCGGTATCCTAAGTGCTTCCGCACGTGTTAGTCTTCTATTGTCAACTCTATCCTCAACAGGATTTGTTCCGCTCATCAGTTAGGCAGAGAATATCTGCACTAGAATCCCCTAGTGGAATCCTACCGCAGCATGTGTCTAACCGGCACCTAATTTTGTAAAAATAGTTGTGTCCGGCAAGTCCCCTACTGTACCGATCAAGTGGCATGTCTACAACATTCACAACAGATTGTCTACATAGTCTAGATGTACTCTGATTGGTTCACTTACAGCAGCATTAGACAAAACTGGCTATGGTAGCATACAACAGTCCTAATCTAATCTGTCTGTGAGGTGTTAGCAGTCTGTCCACCAACTAATCAAGAATACAAAAAGACCATGTAGCAGATGTATGATGAGTGGGTATGGTTGTGTATACAGTTGAGCACCAATTAGAA